TCCAACTAGGAGCCAAAAAGTCGGCCACTCAGGGGGGTTCGAACCGGGCTTCTCCCACCGGCCAATTCACGACAAGAGCGTTCATCCACTGAGCTACCGAGAATGGTCCTCGTCCGCACAAAACAAAATGATATTCACCCGCTGACCGCCAATGACAGTATTGTGACATTTCATCGCGTTTGACCGCGGCGGGTGGTCGCTGGTTTCGGCAGCTCAGTGGATACACGCTAGCGTCGTGGGGTGACCGGTTGGAGAAACCCGGTTCGAACCTTCCCAGGTGCGCGACTTATTTGTTCCTAGATGGAACGGTTTGCTATTGGTGGCTGCGACCACACATTAGAGGAACATAAGAGTTGCTTTGGGACGCCGCGCTATCCAAAAGTATCGATCTGAAATTTGGTATGTAGATAGAAGACGGTAGGTACTATCACATATATTCCGGTTTTTTCGAAACTCAAAAAACTTTTTGGATTTTTTGGCTAATATATCCAAAAAAATGCTTTTTTGATTTTTGGGGGTCAAAACTCCAAAATTTCAAAAATCCGAGATAGCAGTTTTGTAACCCTGTCAATTCTACACCTTTTATGTCTTGATCATTTTTCTGTATCTTCAAAGCTGTAGGCGTGACAGGTCTTCTCGCGGTCTTTTTTCGGTCGAAAATGACAGAACATGACGTCACTCTGACGTCATTTGTGGCCAACCTATCATAGCCTCTGAAAAAAATTTTTGGTCCCAATGTGTAAAATTGATGCCCGGAGGGGTCCTGAAAGTTTGGTGGCGATATCTCCAGCCGTTTAGGGGATATTGACCGAAAAGGACAGGGGGGGGGGCCGTTTCGGCCCCCCCCTACGGGGCGCGGGTTAACCCTCGCCGGACCTATTGGTTTTCTACATACGCGCCGGCCGAGGGGGGGGGGGCGGGTACGACCCCCCCTCGCCGTTTCGCCCCTGGTGGAGCTAGCGCGTCGCGGAAAAAACGAGCGTGTGCGCCGTTACGAGACGCAGAGATTGGTACCCGATTTTAAGGTCCTAGGTCAACCGGTGACCTCTGAGGTCAGGTCAAGTGCCCCAAGGTACGGTTCAGTTTTTGGTGAATAACTTCGCAAAAAACGGCCGCAGAGCGCCGATTTTGGCAGCATTGTGTTCGCCTCGCTCAGGCGCGTCGAATGATATACTTTTTGTCCGGGTCAGGTCAACTTGGGGTGTTGACCTCAGGTCAAGGTCAGGTCAGCACCCCCAGGTCACGAAGTTGGTCGAAAGAGGTCATGTCGCATATCATTCGATTCGGCAGGCCTTCCTGAGTCCATTGGTGCCTTCCCCGACTCGCTAGCTCAATTTGATCAAGAGTTATTGACGAAAAACTAATTTAACCTTGATGACGTCATAAATGACGTCACGCAAGGTCAACATTGCAAAAGTGACGCATCTAACCTTGCAAAGAGTGCATCAAATCACGATTCTGTGTGCTTGAGATAGTTGGAGATCGTTCCCGGCGCCAGAATAGCAGTTTTCATTTTCCCCATTGACTTATAATGGTGAGGTCACGAAAATGACCTGACCTCATATGACCTTTAGGAAAAATCCGAGATATACAAGTTGTGGGACTCATAATGGATACTAGATCCTGCAAGTTTCATTTCCCTGTGACATCTCCTCTGGCAGTGAGGGCGTTGCGAAGTTGCGACATTTGAAGACCGTGCAGAGGTTCACTTATGACGTCATAGGTCAGTGACCTGACCTGACCTAAAAATGCGGTTGGTGTCAAAAGATGCGGCTTGGATCAAAGGTCAGGTATGCCAAGTTTCAGCTCTCTATCGCCAGCGTGTTCGGAGCTATCGCGAAAAAACCCTATGGGGGGGGGGGGCGGCACCCGCCCCCCCCCCTCGGCCGGCGAGGGTTAAGTGTGTCGTAATGTGCATGGCAAGTATGATGATAGGCGCTGTCTTGGGGATAGGACATTTTAACAACTGCTTTAGCACAATTGTTATGTAGAATAATTGGCGCCTTGAGACGCGAAAGTTAACTACACTCGCTCAGCCGCGCGATGGTCCATGCTCCCACCCCGCCTCACTCCCCAGCCCTCGCCAGCCGCCGCACCGCGCCGACCCGAGCCATGCCTCCGGGCTCGGCCCTCACCGCTGCGCTGACGTCACAGGCGGCCCACATCGCCTTACAGCCACCGACCCAGACCGGTTGCATACGGTGTGGGTAGGCTGTGCCGCTTGACAAGTAAGTGAAGCGGCACAGTCTACCGGTACCAGGCGGCTGCTGCCAATGCTGAGCCATAGGAATCCGGTGGATAAGGAGTTGTGGAACATCAATCTGCCCCCGAGTGTACCAAGTGAAAACTTCAAGCACAAGGATGGTCGAGATTTGAATCTCATATGTCACTGTAAGCGGGGTCAGGGGTGTGGACAGCAGTTCCGGCCACAGCCAGTGACAGCAAACTGGTGGCTATGCTGATAACCAGCTTGTGGTGTCGGTGACATCCCTGATGCCCCTACCAGGAGATGGGGGGAACTGTCTGGCACAGCGGGACAATGCGCTGAAAACGCTGGGGTGACGTGTCGATACATGCTGCAGATGTCACTGATTGATGAGTGATGACAAGGTAGTGAGCGCCAGCACCCGCACCACTTCTGCACAGAGATGCAGCATGTGTGGTGCAGCGCCGAGAAACGTGAACAACTTGGACGAGGTTAACCGCCTGCCGGTCGAGTCCATATTCCAAGTCAGTGACCGGGCCGGTCACTGACTTGGAATATGGACTCGGCAGGCTGCACTGTTGGATCCGCATCTTTGAAGCTGTCCTACACATCAGCTACCGGCTGCCAACCGAACAGTGGCAGCCACACTGACAAGCATCGAAAGCAGGTGGAGGAGAGAAAGAAGGCCATGTGGGAGTGGCAACCCCCGATAAATTCGCTGCCGCCACTGGTCAACGAGGGGCTCATCCATCGTCTTCATGTGGTGCTGCAGGCCGTCAGCAGCTGCCTTCCGCTCTCACCCGAGTCACTGCAAGCCTACTGCAACGAGACTGCGGAGCTCGGCAGAGCTTTACGTCGAGCACTACGGCTGGTACCCGATGCCAACCACCCTGCATCGTCTCCTGGTTCATGTGACTACATAGTACATACTACAGTCGTCCAGCAATGCCTGCTGCCAATCAGCACGATGAGTGAGGAGGCAGAGGAGGGTCGGAACAAATAAGTTCTATCACCTGCAGAGGGCACGACGAGATAGCCGCCTGAACACCATGGCCGACGCCTTCGGGCCGCTCATGATCATGAGCGACCCTGTGGTTAGTACCAAGAGCGCCTCGTCCCGTCGCCAAGCCAGGGCCAGCAGCCGGATGCCGCTCCTGAAAGAGGCACGCGCTCTGTTGGCTGAGCCAACATTGCCACAGAACGACAACCGGACATCCGGCGACAGCAGCTGCCGTGACTTGGAGGCGCCTTAGGTGGGACCGCCGTAGACGCGTCAGGTACATCAAGGAAACTTGCCATTGATAGTGTAATAGGGTTGTGATATTAATCAATATACGAAGGCCGTACTTTGTGTTCTTCATTACACACAGGAACTGTGATGCCTACTGATGTTACGATTTCGTGCCTTTACACTATTGCTGATTGTGATTCAGAGAACAAAGATTTTCCCCACCTCTGGTTATTATTGCAAATAGCAGCGACACCAGATTGCAATGAACCCATTGAACAATGAACAGCAACTACTGCGGAATGGTCAAGGGCAACCGAGCCTATCAACCCCAGAACAAGATACAATCGTCGGCCAGCTTAAATGGGCCGAATATATATGACAATTTGTGGGTTGGGTTGGGACCCATTGGGTCCAAATCTGTTACAGACACCGGCAGATCAGACAGATCCCTTAATTTTGCGGACGCATGTATAAACGAGTATCCTTACTCCGGTAGACAGTGATGCAGACCGACTACAGATTTCCAGACACTCGTTTATACATTAACCCTCGCCGGCCGAGGGGGGGGGGGCGGGTGCCGCCCCCCCCCCATAGGGTTTTTTCGCGATAGCTCCGAACACGCTGGCAATAAAGAGCTGAAACTTGGCATACCTGACCTTTGATCCAAGCCGCATCTTTTGACACCAACCGCATTTTTGGGTCAGGTCAGGTCACTGACCTATGACGTCATAAGTGAACCTCTGCACGGTCTTCAGATGTCGCAACTTCGCAACGCCCTCACTGCCAGAGGAGATGTCACAGGGAAATGAAACTTGCAGGATCTAGTATCCATTATGAGTCTCACAACTTGTATATCTCGGATTTTTCCTAAAGGTCATATGAGGTCAGGTCATTTTCGTGACCTCACCATTATAAGTCAATGGGGAAAAATTCAAACTGCTATTCTGGCGCCGGGGACGATCTCCAACTATCTCAAGCACACAGAATCGTGCTTTGATGCACTCCTTGCAAGGTTAGATGCGTCACTTTTGCAATGTTGACCTTGCGTGACGTCATTTATGACGTCATCAAGGTCATATTAGTTTTTCGTCAATAACTCCCGATCAAATTGAGCTAGCGAGTCGAGAAAGCCACCAATGGACTCAGGAAGACCTGCCGAATCGAATGATATGCAACATGACCTCTTTCGACCAATTTCGTGACCTGGGGGTGCTGACCTGACCTTGACCTGAGGTCAACACCCTAAGTTGACCTAACCCGAACAAAAAGTATATCATTCGACGCGCCTGAGGGAGGCGAACACGATGCTGCCAAAATCGCGGCTCTGCGGCCGTTTTTTGCGAAGTTATTCACCAAAAACTGAACCGTACCCTGGGGCACTTGACCTGACCTCAGAGTTCACCGGTTGACCTAGGCCCTTAAAATCGGGTACCAAGCTCTGCGTCTCGTAACGGCGCACACGCTCGTTTTTTCCGCGATATTCAAAAACTACGCTGACGGCTGACGTAGGACTCTCTTTCATGGCAAATTGCAGAATAATGGAAAAGACAGGGTGCCCTAACTAAAAGCCTCTTGCATAAACCGTAAAACGCCATAATCACATCACTGATAAGCATGTCGTTGTCTACGCTCATTACTCCTTAGCGCTCAAAAAGTTTTTTTTTCTTGAAGTTTACGCTAACTTGCTACGGATATTGATTTTGATATTTAAAGTATAACAGCACCCATAGAGTAAGCGCATCTGCAGGGTCGAACAGCGGCTATGTCGGTTGCGCCTGGCTGGACCTCAGTAGGCGGCCGAAAAGGCGGTCAGCTGATCGCCGTCTGACCAGAGCTCCGGTATCACGTGACACTCCATCTGCGACGCCCCCGCTGAAGCGGAAGGGGGTGCCGGCTCCGCGACCTCGTACCCAGACGCGCGGTACGACTCCAGCGGCGGCAGCAGCTGCGAACAGAGGGGGCGTCGGCTTCGATAAGAGGACGGATTCGACTTTTAGGATCCGGAAACGGGGGCAAGACCTTCTGGCAAGCAAGCAAGAAGGCAAGCAGGAGCATGCATGAAATTCGATAATTTCACAGCTGACTTAGACTGACTCCGGATCCGCAGCCCTAATTATAATCATAAATGTGCACGCCTTTAAAATCATCAATGTGCACACATTTGCAAGTTTCGCATGAGTATTTGCATCAATGACCTGTTGATGACCTGACCTTAACTGACCTTGACCGAGCAGGGTCGCAGGTTGAGCGACCCGTTGATCTGATTGGCGGTGGCGTGGCTCAGCCCTCGCGACATGACACTGGCGTAAGTGATGGGGTCGAACGGCTCCCCCGTGGACAGGGTCTCCGAGAGGACAAAGATGTAGTTGCGCGCCATCCGCAGGGTCTCGATCTTGGACAGCTTGCTGGTGTTGCGAGCGAAGGGGATGTGCCTGTGAAGAAGGGATTGAAAACTGAAAAGGGTCATGAAGTTCGCCGTCAGCGTGTTTTAGAAACTGCGCGCTATTTTATTGAACAAATCATTGAAGAAGCAATTTTCTATCACTTACCAACCACTCATGGTTGTTAACAAAAAGAAATTGAGCAAAATATCCCGCCAGACATGTGTAGTAATTGTCAACGGCACCGTTACCTTCTCAATTTATCCAGGGCGGCATTGAGGCCGTGCATGCGACTGCGCTCTCGGGCGTTGGCTTTGGTCCGCTGGGTCCTTTGCGAGGTGGTCCGAGGGGTGCCAGCGAGACTCGGGGCTCTGAAAAGGAACAGACGACACCGGTCTTTTACGTGGTGACCCAGCACAGGCCATTTTGAGTCGCCAGATCAGGTCACTTCGTCAGGGTAAGAACTGTGACGAGACGGTCATTAGAGGCTTTTAGTCGAGGGCTGGAAATTTTGTCGGAAGGTTAGCAGAGTTTTAGTTTATACATCCCTCAGCCTTATTTGCTAGAGAACTGTCGCTGCACTGCTGTACTTTTGCGTTTGTAAATGCATATGTTATAGGCCGTATGAAAACCCAGTCCGTTTGCAAACGGCCTGGCCCGATTCAGGCCGTTTGCAAACGGCCTGGACAGCCCAGTCAGTATGCAAACGGACTGAAAAGTCAGGCCGTTTGAATACGGGCTGAAATTCCAGGCTGTATGCAAACCGCCTGAATTTTCAGGCTGTTTGGAAACCGTCTAGGCCGTATGACAACTTTCGAGACACCAGGCCGTTTGCAAACGGTCTAGTCACTTTGAAAACATTCGGGTCTGCATGAAGATAGCTGGACAATGTTGAGTTTGTTGAAGCACGACCATTTCATGACATTACATGGCACCATGAAATCATGGTCAGGAAGAGATTAGCAGAACTGAGGCCCGGCCCGTATAACGCCCGGTCGACCCGGGCTTCCCCCCGGACTTCAAAGTTTCGCCTTCCACCGCAATGGTCAAGTATTGCCGGCGTATGTACGCCACCGGCCAGCCGCCGGCGGTCAACCGGGCGCGGTGAGGACCGGGATATGATGAAGTTTTCATACAACACTACCATAACCGGTACTTCAACCCGCGCCGGGCCGGTGCTCCGAGATTTTTGGAAACTGCCGATGGCTATCTGGGGAACCGATAGAGCTAGAGCGCCGAAGAAAAACGCATTCGATAGCCCTTTCACAGACCTTTCTGGAGATTGCTGTCAGATTTGACCTTAGGTCAACGGTTTAGCCTCCAGAGGGCAAAAACTCCAAAAATAGTCGTTTTTACGGAAAGCGTTTTTTGGCAATAACTTTTGACTCAAAAGAGCCATGACATTACTTTTGCCAGCATCGTGTTTCTCTCGTCGAGACGCGTCGAATGAACTATACTTTGACCTTGAAAGGTCAACTTGAAAATTTGACCTCAGGTCAAGGTCATGACCTGACCGGAAAAGGTCATGTTGCATATCAGTCGATCCGCAACGTCGAGCCGAACACACCTAAGGCGTTTTCAGCGCTCTAGCACGCCTCTATCAGAAATTATTAGCGAAAAGCTGTTAGATTCTGTTCGTGACCTGGTATGACCTCGGGGACATAACAAGGGGCCACAGTTGCCATTTTCCGGTTCAGTGTGTCAATTTTACCTACATCTCGATGTTTGAGAGTGTCTAGAATAACGTTCGTGCAAAACAGACGCTTTTCAATTTTCTCCCGTTGACTTACAATGGAGAGGCCGCAAAATTGACCTGACCTCAGGTCATCGATATCAAAATTCCGAGATAACTATTTTATAGATAATGTTGCTCTTATCAATCGCTGAAAGTTTCATGACAATCGTTCAGTCGGTGTAGCTATGACGAGCATTCTTATTTTTTCTGAGGTTAGGTAGGTCACTTGGCGTGGTCTGGTGACCTGACCTAAGGCGACCTGGGTCTGAAATTTTCACAACATGTGCGGAAAAGATGCACAAACAGGTGTATCCGCAGGGGGGTGTTCAAACACCCCCCCCCCGGCCCGGCGTTTCTTGGTTCTACCCCGACTAAACCACTCGATCGTTTATATTCAGGGTTCTGCCATTTTCCCTCTCCAACGGGCCTGAAGTTTTCCCTCCACCTCCCCTTCCCCACACATCAATAAATACGAAACGGCATCCTCAAACAAAAAGCAGAAGTGCATCAGCAACACAATTTGCTTACGTCGCCCTACGTACTGCCTGTGGTGGCTTCACCAGGCTCCATCAACTGGAAGTTACTGGATGGCCGATAAACAGGCGGACCGAGAAATTGTATTATTAGTAATATTGTCGGGAAAACGGCCGGGCCGAGCATCTGCACAGTGAGAAAATGTTCGACGTAGACGAGTCATTCGGTAGAATGCGCAAGTATTCATGGATACAACCTGATCATCGACCAACCTGTATCCATTAAGTCATCTTCAGAGTCTGTTGTACTTTGCCAGACCGTTTGAAAACTGACTAGACCGTTTTCAAACTGTCTAGGCCGTTTCAAACTGCCTAGGCCGTTTTCATACGGCCTGATATTTCAGGCGGTTTGCAAACGGCCGACTTTTTCAGGCCGTTTTCAAACGGCCTGACTGGGCCAGGCCGTTTGCAAACGGACTGGGTTTTCATACGGTCTGTAACACATACATGTGTGATGAAACACATCAGCACTTCTGAATTATTTTGCTGGAATTTCTTCTCCCTGTCTTACCTGGCGAGAGCAGCGTCACCGGTGGTGCTGGTCACCTCCCCCTCACCGCAGGCCGGAGCCTGGAATCGGGAAAAAGATCAGATTAGGGAGCCTAATTGCTGAACCAGGGTTGTAAAATGTGATTACGGAGCGAGCGAAGCGAGCGTAGTCTTTCCTTAGATTAACGGAAATTTCTGAGTATGAGCGGCCGGCCGGCCGGCCGTGGTCACGCTTTTTCGAGGCTTATATCTCAGCAACCACTTGACCGATTTACACGCGGTAATTTTTGTAGGGTAGCTTCATTCCTTCTACCAAGTATTGGACTATTCCCGATGCATGTGGGTGACCCCTTATGCACGTGCCACGTGCAAAACGAAGAGGTGTCAGTTTTGTAATTGTTGCAATATCTCGGTAACTACTTGGCCGATTGCGCTGAAAGTTGGCATGTAGGTAGGCACCCACTAGGCACTGCATATACATGTGCCAGAGTTGGGGTGCTGCTGCACGTGCGCACGTGCAGGGGTCGTTTCCAGATCTCGGGAACGGCTGGACCGATTGCGCTCAAATTTGGTACACGGTTAGGGACCGGTTAGTAGGGTGCCGTGCACAAGTCAGTTGGGACCCATTTTGCACGTGCGCACGTGCAGGGTGCCGCTTCCAGATCTCGAGAACGGCTGGGCCGATTGTGCCCAAATTTGGCACATCGCTAGAGACCAGTTAGTAGGGTGCCGTGCACAAGTCAGTTGGAGGTACCCCCTCGCAATTTCGCACGTGCAAGGCCCACCCTCTCGCTCGCTCCGTTAGTCGCCCCAAAAGGCGTTATACTGGTGTAACTATTACCTAGTTCTGCAGTGTTTTGCCAGTGACAAATATGAGTGAGTAACATAATAGTTGTTACTTCCACGAATATCCACGCCACGAGGTCTCTAAAGTAGCAAAACAGCAGATGTATAGGTAGGTAGCTCATCGAATTCATCGAATTTCAAGAGCCGCGGCCCTACCATGATTAGACATGCTGGACACACCACGAACCCACCTTTCTCGTAGAACTGGAGCGGCCAGGAAAAGCCATTGTGGTGATCGGCCGACCCGGGGCGACAAAGGTAGTGACGAAGGCAGCCCCCTTCAGCGGTGGCGTTCGGAAGCTGCCGGTTATCTGCGTCCGTCTGCTTCCCCTGTGCTACCTCTAGCTCTGCTATCGGTCGTCTAGCAATGCCCTGCGGTCCTCTGAACAGCGAGGTCCACCGCCTTGTCTGTCGGGCCCGGCAAGCTGCCCCCGCTGCCGAACAGTGACCACACCGACCCGACTCCGCCGCAACACCGCCGCCGCCCGACGGCATATGGACGGGAACGATAGCGGCGATAACGTCGACGTCGATGAAAAGGGAGATAACCAGTTCGTCGGTTTCGACGGTGTTGCGCTTACCCATACCACCTGATGCTTCACAGTACCGGGCAAGGGACCTGCAAAAACTTCGTTATACAAAATTTTATAGGTATGCAGCGACCCTATAATGAAAATGATCGAGCGGAATGGGGGCTAATGGGGCATATTGTGAAGCATGTCGAGTGATGAAATTAAGTGCCGGATTCTCTGTCACCAGATATAAAAGCATAAACACAACATGGTATTCACATTTATTACGCCTCAATACAGCAGGAACATTACTAACAAATAAACGACAACACACAAGGGAAACACCAACAACTTAATACCGCGAGCCTCAGCGGTGGATCCCGGTGCCGCGAGCCTCAGCAGTGGATCCCGGTGCCGCGACCCTCAGCAGTGGATCCCGGTGCCCACCAAGTCTGCGCCGTCGGTGCAGAAGGACTGGGTGTGCCGGTGGCAGTAGTAGCTGCCCGGCACGCAGTTGGGGTTCTCGCGACACTCCGCCCGCCCGTTACGGACCACGCACACGCCGGGGGAGTCGTATGACCTCCCCGGGCACGCGCCGCCGCAGGGGTCGGACAGGGGGGCCACACACCGGCCGCCGCCGGCCGCGGACGGACAGCAGCGCAGGTCAGCAGCGCAGTCCGTGTCCAGCTCACACCGGGCCAGCGCCTGGTCCCGGGTCGGCGCCAGCGGACAGAAACCGGGCTTGGGCTTGGCGACTGGCACGCAGGTCGGCTTATACCGGCACAGTGGAAAGTCGCCGCAGTGGGGATTTGAACCCGGTATCACCGCGGTAAGACACTTATAGCCGACCGGGCATATGGCTTTTGCACAACGGTCCGGCGTGCAAATCGGCTGCGGAAGGCAGGGCTCGGTGACGCACTGCACTTCCTGCAGGAGACAAGTGAAGCCAGCCGGGCAGGTTTTGCGGGCGCAGTTGGCGGGACTGGTTCCGTTTAGCGGCGGGCTCTCGGTGGGTGTCGCTGGCGGGGGCTGCTCGGTGGGTGCGACGGGTACTGTGTCCACACACACCGGCCAGTAGTGGACGAGGTGGTCGCTCTGCACCAGCTGCAGCTCACACCTCTGTCCACCGGGGCAGCGCAGGTCGCAGATGCTGTTACCTGTGGAGGACACAAGGAGGTTACCTTCAAAGGGAGGCTAGTTATTAGGGGAAGTTGGTAGGCAAAATGTTTGGTAATACGGTCTTATAAACCTATCCTTTGGCATACCGGTGCGCTTATTAGCTTGAGCCTATAATTAGCCTGCTATTAGTGCAAGGGACGCACGTATTGGAATATAAAAGCGCACTTTTCAGACCACCATGCATACTGTGCCTCTTTAGGAACACACTGCACTGCACTGGTCGGACGGAGCTGCCAAGTATCAAGGCAAATAACGCAAAAAAAACGCGTCCTGCCGGGGGTGCGGATTTTCTAACTCCTCCCCTGCGTTTTTCGCGAACGCCGCAGTTTTTGGCACACCTTATCAAGTATTTCTTTTCTGAATATGTTGCTAAAATTTTAGACCAAGGTCACTCAAGGCCAGGTCACCAGGTCACGTCAAGTGACCTCACCTCATAAGGCTTCGATGCTTGCGTGACTGATCGCTTTGAAACTTTCAGCGATTGATAAGAGCAACAGTTTGTACAAAAATTATATCTCTGAATTTCGATATCGGTGACCTGAGGTCAGGTCAATTATGCGACCTCTCCATTATAATTCAATGGGAGAAAATTGAAATGCGCCTCTTTTGGGTAAATTTATTCTTCAAACAATCTCAAACACATAATTACAAGTTGACATGACACAAAAAGTAGAAAATAGCACCCGTCGTCACCATTCCTTATCTCCCTGAGGTCATCTCAGGTTACGAATGACATCTAACAGTTTTTCAGCGGATATCTTGTGATAGAGGTATGCTACAGCGATGAAAACGCCTTAGATGTGTTCAGTTCAACGATACGGATCGAATGATATGCAACATGACCTTTTCCTGTCAGATCATGACTTTGATCTGTCTAAGATGAAATTTTCAAGTTTTTCTTTCAAGGTCAACTTATAGTTCATTCGATGCGTCTTGACGAGAGGAACACGATGCTGATAAAAGTAAGCTCGTGCAAGGTTTGAGTCATAGTTATTGTAGAAAGATTGTTCCCGCAAAAAATCGCCTATTTTGGCAGTTTTTACCCCCCCCCCCCCCCCGTAGGCAAAACCGTTGACTCTGAGAGAAATACATACTCAAAATGAGCGTTGATAGGGCTATCAAATCCGCTTTTCCGGGGCGCTGAAGCTCTGTTGGTTTACGAGTTTTGCTCCGGTGTGTTGAAAATTGTCAACTTTCGACCTGAATTCGGCTAAATTATGCTTTCAATGACCTCTGGTGACCTGACCTTTGACCTGACCAAAAACGTGAGCGAAGTAATTTCGGCATTGTTTTTCACGCTCTATTGAACTCCACCTACCCCTTATCGCCACGTGGCCCAGGAGCCGAGTTAGAGGGGAGGGTGAGGTGTTCATTTAAACACCGCCCCCGCCCCCCTTCCTCGAGCAGGGCGTGGAAATCCAGGAGCCCCAACTGGGCGCGGGTTAAAAAACATTTTGTGTAAGAATCGCCAATTGCAAATTAGTTAGTTCATATGTCAGCAGAACTATTCGAGGGCTTACAACTGATCCCGACGTAAAACATATAGCGGAAAAAAAAATCGTGAAAGCTTCGTAAAATGTACGTACACTTATAAGCATGCTATAAGAACGCATTGTTATTATAAATTGTGTGTATACCGTTCTTTCATGGTTATACCTAAGGTTAACCAGCGCCCAGGTGGGGGTCTCTGCCAACTCCGCCATGGTGGCCGGTAGGCATTTGACCGCACCAGGTTATCTCGGAAAGTGAGAAAGCTGAAAAGACTCATAAAATAACTCGTTATAAGATCCTTTTACATCACAAACCTTATTTTGCGATCAGCTTAGGTCATTGGAGGTCACCAAACGTAAAAATATAGGTAATCTATTTTTCCTTTTTCGACAATTTATCACAAATCGGTGCAGCATACCTCGGGAACAAATAAAGTTACAGCGCCGCGGGAAAGGGCATTCGATAGCTTTTCAAAGGCTTTTCTGAGCATTGTCCTCAGACTTGCGGTTTAGCCTCCAGACTCCAGAGGGCAAAACTCAAAATTTGACAGAACAGGCTTGTTTTGCGTTGATTTTACAGCAACGCGTTTCTCTCGTCGAGACGCGTCGAGTGAACCATAAGTTGACATTGAATTAACCCGCGCCCGGCTGGGGGTCCTGGATTTCCACGTCCCTGCTGGGGGGGGGGGGGGTGTTTGAACACCCCCCCTTGTAACTCGGCTCCTGGGCCACGCAGCGATACGCGGAAGGCGGCGTTCGAAAGAGCGTAAAAAATAATGACGAAATCACTTCGGTCAATTTTTTGGTCAGGTCAAAGGTCAGGTCACCAGAGGTCATTGAAGGCAAAATTTCGCCGATTTCCAGGTCCAATGTCGAAAATTTCCAAGAAGCCAACGCATAACTCGGGAACCAATAGAGCTATAGTGCCGCGGAAAAGCGCATTCGATAGCCCTATTAACGCCCTTTCTGAGTAATTCTCTCAGATTTGACCTAACGTCAACGGTTTTGCCTGCAGGGGGCAAAAACTGCAAAAATAGCCGATTTTTTCGGAAACAGTTTTTCTGCAATAACTTTTGACCCAAGTCCTGTACGAGCTTACTTTTACCGGCATCGTGTTCCTCTCGTCAAGACGCATCGAATGAACTATAACTTGACCTTGAAAGGTCAACTTGAAAATTTGACCTCAGGTCAAGGTCATGACCTGACCGGAAAGGGTCATGTTGCATATCAGTCGATCCGTATCGTCGAGCTGAACACATCTAAGGCGTTTTCATCGCTCTAGCATGCCTCTATCAAAAGTTATTTGCGAAAAACTATTAGATACCATTCGTGACCTAAGATGACCTCAGGGCATAAACAAGGGTCACGGACACCAATTTCATGTTCAGTGTGTCTAAGCCACTTGTAATTCGGTGTTTGGGAGTGTTTATAATGTCTTTCGTCCAAAAGAGGCGCATTTCAATTTTCTCCCATTGACTTATAATGGGGAGGTCGCAAAATTGACCTGACCTTAGGTCATCGATATCAAAATTCTGAGATATACATTTTGTACATGCTATTGCTCTTAGCAATCGCTGAAAGTTTCAAAGCGATCGGTCACTCGGTGTAGCTATGACAGACATTGAAACTTTTTATGAGGTGAGGTCATTTCAAGTGACCTGGTGACCTGACCTTGAATGACCTTGGTCTGAAATTTTCACAACATGTGTAGAATTGATGTATGATAAGGTGTACCAAAAACGGCGGCGCTTCGCGCCGCCGTTTTTGAGATATTTGCGAAAAACCACAAGGGGGGGTGTTCAAACACCCCCCCCCAGCAGGGCGCGGGTTAAAAAACATTTTGTGTAAGAATCGCCAATTGCAAATTAGTTAGTTCATATGTCAGCAGAACTATTCGAGGGCTTACAACTGATCCCGACGTAAAACATATAGCGGAAAAAAATCGTGAAAGCTTCGTAAAATGTACGTACACTTATAAGCATGCTATAAGAACGCATTGTTATTATAAATTGTGTGTATACCGTTCTTTCATGGTTATACCTAAGGTTAACCAGCGCCCAGGTGGGGGTCTCTGCCAACTCCGCCATGGTGGCCGGTAGGCATTTGACCGCACCAGGTTATCTCGGAAAGTGAGAAAGCTGAAAAGACTCATAAAAATAACTCGTTATAAGATCCTTTTACATCACAAACCTTATTTTGCGATCAGCTTAGGTCATTGGAGGTCACCAAACGTAAAAATATAGGTAATCTATTTTTCCTTTTTCGACAATTTATCACAAATCGGTGCAGCATACCTCGGGAACAAATAAAGTTACAGCGCCGCGGGAAAGGGCATTCGATAGCTTTTCAAAGGCCTTTCTGAGCATTGTCCTCAGACTTGCGGTTTAGCCTCCAGACTCCAGAGGGCAAAACTCAAAATTTGACAGAACAGGCTTGTTTTGCGTTGATTTTACAGCAACGCGTTTCTCTCGTCGAGACGCGTCGAGTGAACCATAAGTTGACATTGAAAAGTCAACTTAACAATTTGACCTCGGGTCAAGGTCACACAAAAGTTCATGCTTCATATCAATCGATTCGTGTGGTTGAGCTGAACGCTTTTATGGTCTCCAGCATGTTTCTAATTCTTATTTTTTTGTCAAAAAACTGTTGGAGACTTTTCATGACCTGAGATGACATCCAGAGCATAAAAGGGGTCGAAGGTGCAATTTTCCGATTCAGTGTGTCATGGGCACCTGTTTCCCGATGTTTGATGGTGATTTCGTTAAAAAGAAGAGCATTTCCATGTTCTCCAGTTGACTTATGTAGGTATAATGGAGAGGTCGCAAAATTGACCTGGCCTTAGATTAGATTACCGATATCACAATTACAATTCCGAGATAGGTACATACGACTTGTTTGTATTTAGTTCCTCATGCAACAGCCGAGTTTCAAATCTTTGAGCCATGTTGACTCTAGGAATGACAAAATCACAAAGTTTTTTGAGGTAGGTATGGTTACCTTACTTGACCTGGTGACCTGCCCTTATGAACCTTGGGTCGAAAATTGCACATACGATGCAAAATTGATGCAACATAACCTGTTATGACTAAGTTTAACTAACTAAGTTAACTAAGTCTATAACTAAGCTAGTGGTAACTAAGTTTCGCACACACGCAAAAAAAAACTGACAGGTGTGACCATAAAGTCACCCCCCCCCCCGGGCGAAGGTTAACCTTCGCCCCAGTGGGGGGGGGGGCATATGTTACCACCCTGTCGCGTTTTTTGCGTGTAAATAAAAAACCGCGGCGCGTAGTGCCGCGCCGCTTGGAGTAGCTTTTTGTACATCAATTTCGGACAATGTGTGAAATTTTTGACCCCAGGTCATGTCAGGTCAGGTCACCAGGTCAAGTTAACTGACCAAGCCTAAAAAAGTTTGCAATCATGTCCAGCCTGCAGTGTTTGTCAGAAAGGTTTCAAACTTGGTGGATTGCATGATGTTATGGACGCCTACAATTTGTTTATCTCGGATTTTTTATATCCGTGACGTAAGGTCAGGTCAGTGTCGGGACCTTACCATTATAAGGCAATGGAGAAAAATGAAAATGCTTCTAGATCCGTGTGTACGCATAGGAATAGTCCAAATATTTCAGAATCACAATGATTTGGACCACCCGTGATGACCAAGGTGTCATTTTTGCTGATAGCCTCTAGAAAGGTCATCCGAGGTCATTTAAGGCTACAAACAGATTTTTGCCAATAACTCTCGATTGGAAAGAGATAGAACGCTGGGGATGGCCTCATTGTGTTTGTCTTGCCGAGACGCATCGACTGATATGCAACATGACCTTTTCCGGTCAGGTCATGACCTTGACCTGAGGTCAAATTTTCAAGTTGACCTTTCAAGGTCAAATTATAGTTCATTCGACGCGTCTCGGCAAGAGGAACATGATTCTGGCAATAGAAATGTCGTGGCTTTTTTAGTCGAAAGTTATCGTCGAAAAACACTTTTCGTAAAAACAGCTATTTTTGGAGTTTTTGCCCTCTGGAGGTAAACCGATGACCTGAGGTCAATTTTGATAATGACCTTATCATACGAAGCTTCAAAGCTATCGATTGCTTTTCCATTCGTTTTTCTAGCTATCATAGTTCCTGAGATAAATGCATGTTTTCTGAGAAATATAATGACATTTGGCAAATTTTGACCTTTGATGACCTCCAGTGACCCCAATATTGTTCTGAGATGAAAATGACATAAGTACTTTCAAACGTACGCCTTGAGAGCTATCGACTGCTTTTTACCGCGTCTTCCTAACCCTCTTAGTTTTTGAGTTAGAGGTGGGTGGTAACATATGCCCCCCCCCCCCCCCCACTAGGGCGAAGCTGGCTGAGACCGCCACTGGGGCGCGGGTTAACTTGAACTGCGGACCTGATCGTAGGGGACCTTGGGTAAAAAACAGAATCACAAATGATGCGAAATAAACGTTTCATAGCCTATACCAAGTTTTGCCGCGCTGCGCGCCGCGGTTTGCTGCATATCTATGGATCATTGCTAAAAGAAATACGAATCGGTGACCCATCTCCAGAGAAGAGTAGGGGAGAGTGGGGCAAAGCGGCCACCCGGGGCAAAGCGGCCATCCATCGTTTTAGCCCTCCACAGCTGGCGTCAGTTCCAATTAATGATTTCCAATTATACTTCTCTTTGCGGTCGTTCGAATGAGCCAGACCGGGGTTTCAGGCCCATCGCCATTGTTCTGTGAAACACGGAAAAGCATTTCTTGCCAGGTTACCAATTATGTTTACAATTTTTAAATGTTATTTTATTCCATAACCGTTTGGAATTTTTATAAGCGTTTTTGTCCATGCATTGCGTGGTTATCGTACATGCCTTCTACCAATTTTAATGCTTTTTACCCCACTAATAGCTGAGCTGAAATATTTTTGTCTCGGACGGTAGCGCGGGGCAAAGCGGCCGGGGCAAAGTGGCCAGCCCCCAATTGGCCATAAGTTGTTTCCATCTGGATAAAAACATTATTTATATTCAAATGTGTCGTCATGCATTCATCTTGGCCACTTTTCGGTTACATGAGTTACCAAATTATGCAATCAAATGTTTTTCCAAGAAAATTCTTTCTTTGTTTAGCAATAGGTGGGAAGATAACAAAGTAAACATCCATCTTCCCTTAAACCTTGTCACCATCAAATACCCTAGTCGTGCATGAGGCAACTATTCTGTTTCTCATATCGGGACTTGAGAAGTCGCCAGTGGCCGCTTTGCCTCAGGGATGGGGCAAAGTGGCCAATATGCTATAGGTTTAAAGTTTTGTCAATATCTCCCATATGTGAACGCCTTTGGAAATGAAACGCAGTTGGAATAAAAGACAATTTAATAGGGATCACATTGGTATAGAAAGAATCTTTCCAAGTTTAAAAATCAAGCGTCGGCATCGTTAGAAACGTTAGGGTGGCCGCTTTGCCCCACTCTCCCCTACTCACTGTGCACTAGGACTGTCTGAAAGGTCACCAGGGCCACCATCACCCTCAGTGGACACAGGGAGAGGGCCGCCATACCGCCGGTGCGGGGTGCCGGCGGTCCAAGCGGGACGCGACTGACGACCGGCCTCCTCATCAGCGTCTGCGAGTGACAGCAGTCGGCGCCACACGCCCACGTCACGAACCTGTCCGGTTCCGGTGGCGAGATCCGCAGCCCGGATGGAACAGCATCGTATAGTGTGATTGGATTGGCGTATTTTATCAACCCTCCGCCCCAGCTTGAGTGGTAGCGAGTAGCGACTATAGAAGAGCTGTGAAAAAGTCGTACTAGCAGGGGTGGGAATAGCTGAGAGCCAACGCGTCGTTTTTAGAATCAGACGGCCTGATTGAGTTTTGCAGAGACCTTGATGCTGCAGTTCAGGACGTTGGCGGGTCGCTCACATAGAGGATGAACAGTGTAAGCGCCAGACATGTGCATGGATCCCAGTCGGATGGCCATCTATGATCTCAGTGGATCTCGAAGCAAAGTACAGGTTGGGATCTATGATCCCACCGGATCCGGCATGAAAAATACATCTTGGATCTATGATCTCATATGATATGACGATAAATTAAGAACATGGATCTATGATCTGAGTGGATCCCACCATGCACCACATTTGAAACCATGTTTTAAAGGGTTTCTATGACAATAAGTGACACAAAAATATGGATCATGACGTGCGATCACATAAAATCACTAAAGCAGAACGTTTGTGAGTTGAAACAAGTGCTTTTTTGGGATATATGTGTTGACAAAAAATAAATGAGGATCTATGATCTCACTGGATCTCAAGCAAAAAATGAGACTCGGATCTGTGATCCCTACGGATCTCTCGATAAATTACAGAGCTTGATCTATGATCCCGTCGGATCCGAGATGAGGATCCGTGGGATCAGATCCCAGACCCATTTTCTCGGGTCCATGCACATGTCTGGTAAGCGCCAGCACAGACCCCTGCGGGGCTCCGCTCGAGACTGGGATCCAGTCCGAGTAGGAGCTACTGACCATAATAACTCGCTGCTTGCACCCAATTAGGAAGGCCTTGATCCGTCGCAGCCGCTTACATGCGGCTGCGATGAATCACAATGAGCAGTCACCTTGTGGAAGGTCTACGCATTGACCAGACTGGTTTTTGATTCACCTTTTTTGGATCGATTCATTCATTGATTCATTTGATTTTTGTTTGATTCAATCACCACTTGATTCCTTCAAAAAAATTGGTGAATCGATTCCTTTTGATTCAGAGAATCAAAAAACAATAAAAGGAATGATTTACGTTTGATTCAGCCAAATTTTTTTTGAATGATTCTTTTTTGATTCAATTAAAAAATTAATGTATTAGAATCTTGTGGCCGCCGTGCCACTGCGGCGCCGCCGCCGCCCCGTCCAGGCTCGGGATGAGTTATATGGCATTGTGCGGGGCGGGGCCGGGAGGAGACGGCCGGCGGCACGCGCAGCGCAATTGTAAATTTAAGATATGTCATTTAAGGCACGTAGGCCGCCAAGCTGGCGCCTTCCGTCACCTCGTCGCTGCTGTGCAAGTTCGCACTCGTTTTGGGCGTGTTCTAGACGTTTCGTAACCTGTTGAATAAAAGGTGGGTCACGTACGACCCCCGGCCAGTCTGGGCCGGCGCGCGACGGAGGCAGCTGGCAATACAACGGCAATGTGGACATAAGGAGTTTACTACAAGCTATTTCGGCCTTGGAATACTGCCGTGATGGGGAACGAGAAGGAGACCTGTGATGGTTCGGACGCTGCGGCTGATCTCCGCTTAATCCCGGAGTTTGACGGTGTGTCGCAGCCCGTGTGCGAGTGGCTGGACAAGGTCGAACTTGTGTGTCAGCTGCGCGGCATCAGGGGACTGCACGTCGTCGTCCCGCTGAGACTCACTGGTGGTGCGTTTGCGGTATATCAACAGCTCGGAGAAGATGAGAAGAAAAAGTACGAGGACATCAAAAGGGCCCTGACATCGGCGTTTGCTTCGGATCGGTTTGAAGCCTACGACCAATTTGAACGTAGAAGGCTGCGTCCAGGTGAGACGGTGGACGTGTTCGTCTCTGAGCTGCGCCGGCTGGCTGGCTTGTTCGGAGGTATGCCGGACGACAGCCTGGCCTGTGCCTTCGTGGCCAAACTGCCAGATTCAGCACGCCGTGCGCTCCGGGCTGGATCACGGATGGAGGACATGCCGTTTAGCCAGCTAATCGGTCGCGCTCGGGCCGTGCTAGCCGACGAGGAAACAAACACCGCGGCCGCCGCCGCTGGCACAAGGACTGGAGCACTCCCGGCCACAATGAAATGCTACTCGTGCGGGCAACCGAACCATATCGCCCGCGACTGCACGGCAGGCCGCGGACAGCGGGGCCGTGGAGGCCCCCGTGGTGGACGGAGCCTCGTGAGGTGCTACAACTGCAACCGGCAGGGGCACATCGCCTCTGCGTGTCCGGAAAACGACGCGGGAGGGGAGAGATCAGCGCCAGCCTCCTCTCCTGTCGACCAGTGAACGGGGCGCTGCCAGTCGCGCAGCTGTCGGTGGACGGAGCGAGCTGCAAAGCGCTGGTTGATACAGGATGCAGCCAGTGTGTAGCTCACGTGTCAGTTTGTCGGAGGTGGAACCGACGCCCGGTGAGCGTGATGACAGTGAGTGGAGGGCGTTATTGGTGTGAGGGGTCAGGCGTGGCACGCGTGCAGCTGCGGTCCGGTGAATCAGTGTCCGTGGATGTGCTCGTCGTAGCACGTAAGCCACTGGGGTTTGAGTTCATCCTCGGGATGAATGGTATCAGAGCACTGGGTGGCGCTACAGTGAGTTCGGATGACCGAGTCAGATTCGGAGTTGAGGCAGCGGTGTCTCATATAGCGGCGTCAGTGGCCTCACCCGGTGACCGGGTCAGCTGTGATGGTGAGAGGACTGGGGTGTCGCGTGCAGTGGCAGCGACTGCACGGGTGAGTCATGATCAGGCGAGCAGTGAGGCGGCCCCAGCGTCAGGTGCAGCGGCGGCAGCTGCAGCAGTGAATCGAGCTGACAGCAGTAAGGGGGATCCGGTGTTGGGTGCGGCGGCGGCGGCCGCACCGGCTAATCGAGCCGACGAGAAGGACTTTGTGGTGAGCTTTGATGAGACAGAAAAGAAGTGGTCGGTAGAGTGGAAATGGTGTGGAGGAAAGGAGCCCGAGCAGCTGCACAATACAGCAGAGGAGTACGCGATTCCAACAGAAGCCCGACACGAATACGAGCGAGAACTCTCCAAGTGGGTGGCGAATCAATGGCTCGTCCCTTATGATGAGAGCGTGCACGGGAGGGTCAAAGGCACGATCCCGCTCATGGCGGTCATCCAACCGAAGAAGGACAAAGTGCGTCCCGTCATGGATTTCAGGGAGTTAAATACGCACCTGGACCCGCATACAGCTGACGCGGATGTTTGCAGTGAAAAAATCCGTGAGTGGCGTCGGTGTGGACGAAACGTGTCTCTCCTAGATCTGCGAGACGCTTACCTGCAGATCCACGTGCACGCATCGCTGTGGCCGTATCAGACTGTAGTGTTCCAGGGCAGACGGTGGTGTCTGAGCAGACTTGGCTTTGGGCTCAGTCTCGCACCGATGGTGATGAGAAAGGTGCTGGAAATGGCCCTGAAACGTGACCCGAGGGTGCACACCGCTACATCACCTTACGTGGACGACATACTCGTAAATGAAAACATCGCTACTGCATTGGAGGTGAAGGGTCATCTGGAGGCGCTCGGTCTGACCTGCAAATCCCCGGAGAAGGTGTCAGAAGGTGCTCGTGTCCTGGGCATTCGAGTCTGGGGGGAGCGGCAAGGACTGTTCTGGAAGCGGGACAACCAGGATCTACAGCCGCCGCCAAAGCTGACGAGGAGAGAGGTCTTCTCGCTGTGCGGACGTCTGACAAGTCAGGTCCCGGTGTGTGGCTGGCTGCGTGTCTCCGCATCCTACCTGAAAAGACGCGCCACTGCAGCGACAGACGGCTGGGATGACGAGATCACCGACCCAGAACTCCAGAAAATGGTCATGGAAACGCTGCAGCGCGTGAAAACGGCCGATCCCGCACGAGGTCGCTGGGATGTCACCGGCGATGAGGGAGTCGTGTGGGTGGATGCCAGCTCCCTCGCCATAGGAGCCGTGCTGGAGATGGAAGGCAGCATCGTTGAGGACGCCTGCTGGCTTCGGAAAAATCCCGAGACACACGTGAACCTTGCAGAACTGGACTCTGTTGTGCGTGGCATCAATCTGTCCCTGGCATGGAACCTGAAGAAAGTGACTGTCGTGACGGACTCGAAAACGGTCTATCACTGGCTAACAGATGCGCTCTCCGGCAGAGCTCGGATAAAGACGAAGGCGGCGAGTGAAATGCTGATTAGAAGGCGCCTGGAGACCGTGAAGAGTCTGAGAGATGAGTACGGCCTCCAGCTGACCGTGAAGTGTGTTCCGTCAGTGGACAACAGGGCTGACGCACTGACGAGAGTGCCGAAGAAGTGGCTGAACCAACAAAGCGATCCGGAGGTCTGCGGCGCTGCCTTCTCGGCGCCGGATGTGGTCAGGATCCATGAAACAAGCGGACACCCAGGCATCGGGAGAACGCTGCGCCTGTGTAGGGAGCACGACCCGGCTGTGAGCAGGCACCAGGTGCGCAGTGTCGTTAGCCAGTGCGAAAGGTGCCAGTCCATCGATCCAGCGCCCCAGCGGTGGACACATGGTTCGCTGAGCGTGACTAAATGCTGGGACAGGGTCAGCATGGACGTCTGTCACGTAAACGATCAGCTGTACCTGACTCTGATTGACTGCGGTCCGTCTCGGTACGCGATCTGGCGGCGGATAAAGCGACAGGACACCGACAGCATCATCACGGCTCTGGAGTCGGTATTCCTGGAGCGCGGCGCTCCGAGGGAGCTGCTGACGGACAACTTCACCTCATTCCGCAGTGCCGCATTCCACGAGTTCGTCAGCCGGTGGGGTGTCAGCGTCCGGTACCGAGCTGCCCATGCGCCGTTCGGCAATGGTGTCTCTGAGAGAAATCATAGGTCGGTCAAAACAATCGTAGCGCGCAAAGGCTGCTCAGTGGCGGAAG